CCCCCCCCCCCCCCCAGTCTGCCACTCCCATGGACCGGCTTCTCCAGACTGTAGAGAGAAATTCCATAGAATTCTGTGTCACCATGTAGTCAAGACCATATCAGAAATTCACCACATAGATGCACGCGCGCGCACACACACACAGACAAGGTTCAGGAGTCCAGTGCTTGACTAGAATGGGACTTGGCCTGTCGTTTATGACATGCTTTTGCATCGACACAGCTGGGAACTAGCAAGACAGACCTGAGCCCAGGACCAAACTGATTGGGTCCACGAGGTGCCCCCCCCGCCAGTGCTGGGAGAGTTCCCTGGATAACCCTTCACAGGATCCCCCCCCCAAAGCTGCTGCTGTTCAAGTCCAGAAATGAGAACTTGGGTTTTGAAATCTAAAAGCTGTATTTTGGAATCTCACCTTTTCCCGTGGACACAAAAAAGGAGTTATGTATCAATACACACACACACACACACACACACGCACGCACGCACGCACGCACGCACACACACACACACACACACATTTTAATTTGGCCTGCAGATTCCTTTAATTCCTTGCCTCCTGTTTTATTCCTGTACAGCTGAATGGACCCGCTGACGGGCAAGGCTGAGGTTCTGTGTTGGGGACCATCTCGCCACCAGAATACAAGAGAAGCAGCCATGTAACCATTGCTCCATAAAATTTGCATTTTCAAACAAAGTGTTTTGTTTTGCTTTGCTTTGAGAGAATGGCAGATAAACAAACTCTTTCTGAATGCCCTGCAGAAGCCAATAAAGACGCTGAGGTCTGTTTGGAGAGGAAAGGAGGTACGTTGCAGAACTGGGCCAGGCCAGAGGCAAAGCAGCCCAAAGGGAATGCATCAACAGCGAGAGGAGGCAGGGGCGTACCAAAATGAAATTGGGGGGGGGGCTCGGCTCCCTCCCTCCCTCTGTGGCATCCACTCTCTCTGTTCCTAGAACCGGTTCCAGCAGCCCCACCAAGGACCACCTTTTTTCTATCCAAGCCTATTAAGCACAACCGCTTTCTCCTTGTGCAGGGCCTAGTTTTGGTTTTTAAACTTGTTTCCCCGAAGCGGTTTCAAATGGTTTAAACCAATAACAGTTCTGATATCATTAGGCATTCGAGAGAACATTGGACCACCATGTGCCGGATCATCTTTGATGTGGATTCCTGCCTTGAGACTCCATGGCCTCAGAGGCCCCTTCCAACTCTATCTTCCTACGATTCTATTATATAGGATAGATAGATAATATCCCACACACTTAATAAACATAATTGTTGACCTGTTCTCTAGCATTAAATGTCACTACATCTGGCTCACAATATCGCCTTGAGCAGGAAATACCCCAAACGCTAAGGGGCCACAACGCAAACAAGAATTCCGTGGACGTCTGGTCTCCCGGCGAAACCGGACCGAGGCACCTGTGACAGAAGCGCCAGGCAGAGCTATTTCAGTGACGAGATGGTCCCGATAACCCAGGGGCCACAGACAATGCTTGCTTCCCGCTTGTCGCTGAGCTGCTCCTGCCGGAAACACCTTGCCCAGGACCTGCCCAACCTCCCTCCCTCCCTCGGCGCCTCCATTCCCTGCAAGGAACATGGCTGAGGGCCACGGGGGGGGGGGAGCAGCCGGGCGCAGCTCCTCCACCACTCCTTCTGATTTGGGCTGCCTGAAGGAAGAGGTCCCGGGCTCTTCCATTGGCCAGATCCGAGGGAGATTCCGCCCAGATTGGCTCCGCAGGCCTGTCACAGACATTGGCCAGGTTAGAGCACCTCCCACTTCGGGACAGGTAAAGTTTTTCTGTAAGAGATTGGGATTCTTAAGGCTACAGAGCACCTGGATTCCTCAAGGTTCACAACCAGCAGGCATGCCTCGGAGTTCCTGATCGTTACTCCCCCCCCCAAAGTCTTCTTTGAACCCCCTCCTCTGGTTTGGGATTTGCAGCTTGGGCAAGTGGGGGTCGGGGGGGGCAACCACAGGCAGAATGAGTAGCAGCGGGCTTGTCTTGAGCACCCCAGTTTCTGACGAAAGTGCCGCATTTACACCCCTCAAGCCAGTCGTCATGGCCAGGGAGACCGCAGAAGACCCGGCTGTCTTTGAGGATGTCAAACCGCCCATACGGATCCTGGAGAATCAGCAGGATTTGGCCCAGGTAAGGGAGCCTTCTAAAATGCTATGACCTGCCTTAACCCCAACATTCTGGGCTTGTCTGCCACATGGGTTTGGATGGTTTAGAGGGCTTTTCTCATTCGAGATTTGACAGTCTTGTCTTGCGGAAAGGTGGGGGCGATGAATCATGGGAACATTTTAAAACTGCATGCATTCTTTCTCCATGAATCAGGTGTGTGTGTGTGTGTAGGTGGGGGTGCGTCAGAGGCAAAGTGGGGGCCTAGTCAAATTTGATTTTTTAATTAAATTTTATTTTAAAAAAGATTTTAAGGTAAAGGTTCCCCTTGACATTTAGTCCAGTCGTGTCCGACTCGAGGGCGCGGTGCTCATCCCCGTCTCCAAGCTATAGAGCCAGCGTTTGTCCGAAGACAGTTTCCGTGGTCATGTGGCCAGCACGACTAGACACGGAACGCCGTTTAGATTTTAGGCAGATGTAAATTAATGTTGCTTGCCGAGCGTGCTACCTGTTGTTTGTGCCAGATTCAGATTTGGCCCAGTGTAAAATGGCAGAGATTCTGTATGTGTAAGCGGCTGATGGGAACAATGCCTGGCGGACAGAAAGGAGCAGTGGAGAAAAACAGGAGCGCCGCTTCAGAGCACCAGTGGGTCTGGCCGGGGCCTTGTTGAGACCCCTTTTGGAGAGGACCTCCCAGGCAGCGGCTGTGGCGCTTTGGGCTGGGCCAGGAGGAACCAACAGACTCAAAGGGAGGGAGGCTCCCAAAGAAAGGTGGCCCTTTGCCGAAGGCGTTTGGGTCTCCTTTTGCCCAAAGAGGTTTGGGGAGGGTCTTCCTTTCTCCCTTCCCTCTCCGAAGAGGAAGGTGCCTGGAGGGTGTTTTCGTGCCATTGCTTCAGAGGAAGGCCTGGGTGGGATCACCTGCCGAGCTTGCTGCCTGGGCGCTTGTTTTTCAAAGCACTCGAAAGGAATTCTCCTTGAGATTCTCCAGGGCTGCATTTTTTCCCTTGAACAAGGGAGATAAAAGGTTTGGATAAGGAGGTGAGGCAGGGAACCAAGCCGCAGCTCCCTCCTCGGTACACATGCTCACCCAGGAGGGAAGGGAAGGGGGCGGCCTGTTCCTTGGCGCTTCCATTTCTGACGGGGAGGAAACGCACAGGCAGCGCCTCTCTCTGTGAAAGGCAGGCCGTGGGGAAGTTGCCACAGCAGGGTCGTTCAGGGCCTGTACGCCACGCGTGGCCCCAGCGTTTCCGGGGTACCTCCTCGGCCTCGTCTCTCCAAGCTGGAACCTGTCGTAAAGGTGAAGGTGGATCCTTCCAAGCGAGAGCTCCTGTCTCGGGGTGGGTGGGTGGAATGGGGGACAGAAAGGCGAGTTGACTCTCTCTCTGCCAAGGCTGGCAGGGTTTGACAAGTAGCCCACAAAGGCGCCATGTCGGACGATGGCCGCAGCGGGTCTGTCTCGGTCTTCTCTCTCCAGTGGAGGGCAGTCCACCTGTCCTCAGGGAGGCTTGTTGAAACTTTAGGGGTCCTTGTGTCTCTTACAGCTGGCACATGGGGGGGCGCTCCTTAAATGGCTCCCCCTTGAAGTTCTCACTCTATGACTCACCATGCCAACTAAGCGGCTATTGATTCCTTCCGTGGGGGAGGGGGGGTTGGGAAGCAGGAAATGATGGGGGTGGGGAAGTTCTCTTGGGGGATGTGGTGACTCTGTGTGCGTGAGTGGCTTCCTCACGGTGGAGGATCAAGAGCAAGAGCGGACGGAAGAGGCACAAGGGCCCTCAGCCCTTGGAGTGTCTGCTCCTTCCCAGGCTTCTTCCCCTCTTATTATGCTCTCCCTCCAGGTCTCCACCCAGCCCAGGCTGGGTTGCTCAGAAGGATGGGGTCCCTTGGTCATCTTAGTCATCTGAGCTGCCCTGTTGAGTGAAGAACAAGCCGGCGGGTGGCTGGCGCGGGCGCAAGGGTGAGGCGGCAGAAAGGAGCCCTCTGCCTGAGAGACGGAGGGGTTCTTGGCCTTGGACTTCAGGGGCCTTCCAGGAAAGAGCCGCTCAGGGGAGGGAGGATTTGAAGTGGGCTGGGAAACAAAGCCACTGTAAATGCAACTTCTCCGATGATATCGGAACTAGCCGTAGGGTCAAAGTCCACCCCATCAACTGACGCCTTGCTTCCCTTTTGCGGGTTAGGGAGATCGTGGACTCCAGGAGCATCGGGGGGTTCTGCCTTCCGGTTTGTGAAGATGCCAAATGCCCACCTTGAATGAATTCTTTCATTTGTGCTTCCTTGGGCACCACAAAGCCTCCCTTCCATTTTCTCTCACGATGGGCATGTTGGCTAATGATTAACCTCCAGCAAGAGTCTTCCTGGCGCCATCTTGTTAGTGGGAAGCGTGTCTGGCTCAGGAAGGGAACCATCGTCAGGACTGGCAAGCAAGAGGGTGGATGTTGATTTTTCAGAACAAAGGGGGCTGGGAAGGTCTTGGGCGTCTGCCATCTTCGATTCCCACCTGAGATCCTCTTCTTCACATCACCATCTCCGTTATGCTGGCTGAAGTGGTGGAGGTGGAGGTGGGTAGTGGCCTTTCTAGTTGTCCCACCAGTGCTATAGCCCTCCGGGCCACAGCCTAATGGAGAGCGGACTCTGCAGTGGACTCCCAGCTGAGGTCAAAAGCTGGTCCCAACCCCTGTTTGCAAATGCAGAAGAGCCATATGGACACTGGCTATACCTCAGAAAAGGGGTCCAGGACGGCCTCGCTAGCCCTTAGGCCATTTTTGAATCCCCTCCACAATGTCCCTGTGCCTTTTCTTTAAAGCAAAGAAGAAAAAAGGCAAGAAAAAGTGGTTAGTCCTGTTCTTCTGACTTCCTGCAGGGCCACTGAGCTGCCCAAACCCCAAAGTAAAAGTACCCTGGGTGTCCCCCCCACCCTGATTTGGGGGCTTTTCTGGTTGTGGTGTGACTGAGAGAGGCTGCCAGACCCTTCTGGGTTGCCCACCCCTCCTTTACGTATTCCAGAGTCCAAAATGATGCTGGGAGATAAGAGGGCAACTTTTGGATTTCGGCGTTCAGGTGGCGTAAACAGATCCGAGGGCACGGGATTTTCTGGGTGTGAAGAGCAGCTTCTTTTGCCTAGGATTTCCTGGAATGCATAACCGAGAGCATCTGTCAAAGCCAAGATCGTGGCCAGATTCACTGGGGCCTTTGATCTCCCAAGTGAAGAGTTGGTTTCCCCTGCCAAGGGAGGGAGGCAAGGGAGGGGGAGATTGGCAGTGGCTCCTCTCTGACAAAACTGCATCAAGGTGTGTCTCCTGGAGGCTCACTGGGGCAAACACAGCTCCTGGCTCCAGCCCGGTGGGTTGTCTTCCTCCTTGGGGGGGTCAAAGTAGTAATTCAAGCTGTTCTTTCCTGATATGGATGTGCCCCCCCCCAGCCGCTGCTACATCCCCTTTCCCAAGGCAATGTCTGCTTGCAAGACTCTCAGAAAGCCGCCGTTTGCAGGTCTGGCTGGAGGAGTCCAGAGCGGTGTCCCAGAGGAGATTTTCATCGGTATAGCAAGCCCAGCTCTTGATTAATTTTGCACAAGTGGTCATTTAATAAGGAAGGCACGTTGAAGGCCAAGCTGGCGAGAACCGTGTGCCCTCGAGCAGAGGGAGAGCAAGTGATTTGCGGGTAGAAGCCCCAGGGCAGCCTCTCCAGGTAGGGCTCAGGGAGAATCCTGCCCAAGAAAGCCATGGCTGCCAGTCAGAGCTGGCAATCCCAGGCTAAAGGGACCAAGGGCTCAACTGAGCAGAAGGCATCTTGTTGTATCATAGGCAGAAAAATGGAGAGAGCCTGAGAGGGTGCTGTTGCATATGCCTGTGTGCGCGCGCATGCATGTGTGCTTGCGCACATTCTGCTTCACTCCAGAAGGATGTGGGTTTTCCTTTAAGCTTGGTCAAAAGTGCAGTTTGGGCTCTAGTGAGCCTTCCTTCTGGTGGTGGTGGCGGTGGCAGTGTGAACAGTGCAGAAGTTGGCCTGGTCTTTCTCTCAGATCATTCCCTGAGGCTGCTCCTTCTTCCCAAGACTGGGCACTTGCAAGAAGCCCAGGGCAGAAGCCGCATCATCATCAGCCGCATCAGTGAAACTGCCCAGGAAGGTTCTTGGGCAGCAGGACAGAATGAGGACCACTGCAGGGAAGACTTGGGGAGACGCCATCCATTTTTAAACCAGACCTAAGTATGAAATGGCATGCCAGCCCTTGAGTAAAACCCAGTGATTCAGTGGGTTTACTCTAGCTTGGATTAGCTATAGGATTTAGGCCTGCAAGTGTAAGCATTCATGCTTGTGGCTTCTCCCAAGGACCCTTGGTGAGCTTGTACTCCTGGAATAATTGCTGCTACCACCATCTTGGTTCCTGTTGCTTACGGCTGTGTGGAAGGGCCCAGCAGGACTCATGGCTGGGTTTGAAAAGCAGCTTGTGGGCGGCCGGGTCTTAGTTGCCAGCAGGAGCCGACGCTTCCTCCATTCTCCAGGCAGGACGAAGCATCTCAGGGTATGTTCTGCTAGAGGAGGAGGAGAAGGCTTGACTGGCACCAGGGCTGTGTGCTTCTATATGGAGATGATTGGGGGGGGGGCAGCTTGCCTGCTCCCATTCCTTGTTTACTCCACCTTTGCGGCATCACAAGGACCCCTCCAGCCCCCGTGCGTGGTGTCAGGTTTTGGCCCTGAGGTCTCAGGGAGGGAGATGCCCCTGGCCCAGAAGCCCTGCCTGGGCTACTCATTGGGCTGCCGTTACTTTCTCGTTGCCTGCCTGCTTTCTCACGATGGGAAGAAACACAAAAGCATCGACGGGCCTGATGTTCAGTAAACCAGGGACTCATCCTGCAGCCACGGGCACATCACTCTCCTGGTGTTTGTTGGCCTTGACAAGAGATGGCTTGTCTTTTCTCTCTGTTTGGAGATCTTAATTTAAAAAGCCTCACGGCTCAGGAGCCAAGAAGCCCTTCTTCCTGCCTTGGCCTGGTCGTGCCTCTGAGACCCTGGACGTCACTCTCCGAATC